AAGAATTTTGGGAAATTGAATTTAAAAAGTTCTATTGAAAGGAAATAGAAACAAAAACAACAAAAAAGTTATGTCGTATCAGTGTTCTGAAAAATTCGGATATATATATAAATACATATATATAAAAAAAAATATGAAATATAAACAAAAGAAAGAATTATGTCGGAAATTTATTTTGGACCAAAGGAAAAAATATTTGGCTCTGGGCTCTTTAAGAAAAGAAATAAAGAGAAAAATAAATAGCCATATATATAAAAAAAGTCTATTTTAAACCATGGAAAAGAGAGAACTAAAAAATGAGAAAAAGAATGAGCTGAATATGAAATGGCATTTTGATAAAAAATTTGCAAACCAAAACAGTATCAAAACAATATTTATTGATATATATATATATATATATAGAGAGATTTTAGAGAATACAGAGAGAAAGAACAGTAATAGAAATGCAAACTGTTGAAATATATTTCAGTTTTTTTTACAAAATAGTGCAAATATGGTTTGATCAGAGCATTGTTAATTAAAATAAATACCCTAAAAATGTTTTTTTACATATGTGGGTCATACCGTTATCAAAAATGGAACATAAAACTAATTTCCTTTATTTTGACAATTAAATTCTTTTTCAATAAACATCAATTTTAAGCCAAAAAATAAGTAACGTTGGCTATGTGTTGTGGTTGCATGTAGAGAGAGAGAGAAAGAGAGAGAGGAGAGAGAATATGGAAATAGAGGCGGAGAGAAATTTTTCCCAAATTAGGAAGCAACCACAATTCAAATTAAAATCTGAATAACACTGACGTCAAACTACAGAAATTTTTATACATTATCGCCTCTAATGAAACCAATATAATTTCAAAATGAAACCATTCCACTCCAAAACAACACATTAAATATATTATCACACATGTTTAGGTTTTCAACATCGTATAACTTTTACTGTAAACAAAAACTTTCTCAATTTGTTTTAAAACAAATTTGGAATCTTACTTTGTTTCCGATGATAAATACGAACATTTTTCTTGAAAAAATTCATCGAAATTACTGGAACATTAAAATTTGGGAAATCCATTTCAGGGTTTGAAAACTACTAAATGTTTTTAAATGTGTAAAAATGTAAAAAAATTCCTTTATCTTTCGTTAAACGTAAACAAAGCATTTCATTTTCCCTCAAAAGACCTTAAAATCGTTACAAAAAGAAAGATTTGTAGGTTCTTGTTCTTAGAGAACATAATCCTATTATCCAAATTCCTCGTAGGCAATTATGGATATATAGTTTTTGTCATTTTTAACCTTTCGTTTTGTATATATCTCATTCAGAAAAACCATTATCTATAATTACAGTTTAATCATACCATTAAACTTACTTATAGAGGTTTTGTCATAATGCATGTCATGTAAGAATAAGAAACATTCATTGTTTTAAGAAATATCAAAAATTTTAAATACATTTGAAATCATGACCTGAGGAGATAAATTATATTAGTAACACGTGCTGTTTATTCCTTTGCGCTTGGTTTAATTACAATGTACAAGAAAAATATTCGTGATTTTTGATATCTTGTAACCAAAAGATGTGAGAAAATAAACAAGATTAGCAATATATATATATATATATATATATATATATATATATATATATATATATATATAAAAATTTAAACATTAAATAAATTTACAGTTAAAAAGAATTAACATATGTGTTTTACAGTGACTTATAAGTTTTTATTACTTTGTTGAATGTATTACGTATGTATATGTTATACAGTTCGGCAAATGTTTCCAAAAATGGGAAACCCTATTTTTTAAAAGAGCTAAAATTGTAGAGGTTTCAACTAGAAATGAAGAAATGAAAAGAGAATAAAGGCAATAAGGCCCAGTTTTTATAAAATGTCTTTATTATTTAGAGACCCCTATGATGACAATTAAAAAATTAAACAAGGAGGTTATTTTATTTATTCCCTTTAGATTGGAAAATATTTAGTTAGGATTTATACAATTAACTTAATGCTAATTTTTTAAATATTTTTATTTATAATCATTTGAACAAAGCAAGGCAATAAAGCCAATAAGATGCAAGGGCTTTTAAATATAAAAATTTATAATTTGATTAGCCGGTAATAACATTTTAAGCTGTTAATATATATCTATGAAACCAATAAGGGTTGATATTATGAATTTTATAGATTTCAAAAATAAAATAAAAAAAATAAAAATAACCCAAAATTAGTTCAATGACAATAACACCACTAATTCAACTACATTTATATAATTTTTTATTTTTATTATATGGTTAAAAATTTAATGCTGGCTCAGTTCACCATATTTACAATAACTATTATTTTATATTTTCATTGTCTATATCCCTGCATTTAGATTACTATCCCAGATATATATATATATATATATACCCTCTATATATATATATATATATATATATTAAATTTAAACATCACCATATAAATTAACCAATAAGGATTACAAATTTCTACCTGTTACATATACACAGTCACCAAAAACAAACAAATAACCAGCTTTAAATATAACAAATAAACCCCCATTTTTTTTTTTTTTTAAATTTAAAAATAAATATAAATAATAATAATTTTTACCTATCATAATTTTACACAAACCCCACCACACGTATATACATACATGCGAGGAAATATTTTTCAGTGGAAAAAAAAAAATAATATGACATGTATACATTAACGAGACATTTCCGCCACACTTCCAATGTTTAAATTTCAACATTTCAACATACAAATGCGTATGTATAGATATAACACCACCCGTATACATACATGTGTCATATCTGAAACTGCCCACATATGTTTATATATGTATGAGTCCCGACGGACGACCAAGTAAGTATATGTGTCTGCATACATCGATTTTTGCGTTAGTACGATGAATAACAAAACGACGAAATTTCCCCCACCACTTCCACAATAACACCAATACACGCAATCTACATAAACCCCAATTTTTTAAAACATTAATCAGTTTGTCTGACGATCGCTAAAAGCGTGAAACCCAGGGTCACAAACTCACATCTATCCAACCAAATATGTTAGCTCTATCTCTGATATTGAGCGCTTTCTAATAAGTACCATATATATAATATATAAATAATTATACATATTATATTTATTTATATTTATATACACTTTTCATATATACATACAATATATATATATATATATATATATATTTATATATTTATATATAAATATATATATATATATATATTCATTAAACATGATTGAAATACTACGGTTGAGATTTTTATTTAATTTTTAAAATATTCAAAAGTCACTTTCCCTTCGGAATGGAAGAGGTGCAAAACTGTCCAAATATAGTTCGAGCTTATACCCTAGCCAATAATTATAAAAAATTAAAAAGCCAACTTTAACAATATTTTACTCTAAACAAGGCCAAATATATATAACCGTATTCGGAAATTAAAAAAATTAAAACAACACCCTAAAACATAAACATAATGTGCACTTTATTAAAATTGAAAAAAACGAAAATTTGATAAATGGCTAAAGGTATAGCTAAAAGCTGTAATGAACTACTATAAAACATTTGGGGCAGTTTTTATAAACACTTTGTCCAGAAAAGAAAGTTAATTCGAAATTGAAAATTTTGCAAAAAATTACCTTAGAGAGAGTCTGTTCGTTTTTTTAATGGATCATATATATATATATATATATATATATATATATATATATATATATATATAATAATAAACTTATAAATATTTTTATCATATTTAAATAAACAAACATTAATGGTTTGAATTTTCATTTATTATATATATATATATATATATATATATATATATATATATAACACCTAAAATAAAATAAATCTCATAATAAAAAATAAGAAAATACAAAAAAAAAAAACCAGAGCAACATATTTATTAGACGTCAAATATCATTTGTAAACAATTGTTATCAACACCTGCCTAATTTATGTTTTATTATCTATAATCTAAAGAAAAATATCTTGTATTCTTTAATCGCTCCATAATGTTTGCCTTTTTCTTTTTTTAAAGATTTTGTATTATCCACAAGATAATACAATAATAAACGCCTTTGATCAACTCTTCAGATATCAATTACTATCGATCATATACACATTATTCTTAAAAGTACATACAAGTCTTTACCAGCCAAGGATATTATTTTCATTCCCAAACGATCATAAAACATATTGGAAAAAAATTTCCTTTTTTCTTTTTTGAATAAATGCTTTTTTGTTTATATCTTATTTTTATGTTTTAAAACATTTCTTCCTATATATAAAAAAAGCGTGTTCTTTAACTGCTCTACATAACATATTAAACGAAAATATATATATTATAAATCCTTGTTTGATTAAGGAGAACTATGTTTCCTCTGGTCTTATTTTCCAGATATAATATTTATACCTTTGCGTTCCCCCCTCCTTGAAGTTTTCTCGAATATTCAGGCCGGTAAATGTAAATAAATAAATATATATTCTATAAATAAATAAATATATATCTATTCTTTACGAGTATCCATTTAAAAAAATAATATTTTATATAAATTAATATATATATATATATATATATATATATATATATATATATATATATATATATATATATATATATATATATAGATAAGTTTTATCATATAAAAAATATATGCAAATCTTTTAAAAATAACAGGCCAATATTTGGTATATATTAATAAATTCCATTCTATTATCCCTATATATATTATTCATTTATATTTCAAAATTTATTATAGATTCATATTAACGCAATTTTCAAAAAAAAATCCTGACTTTTTCGAAATTATTTTATATATTATTTATCTTATTTAATAAAAAATATTTTTATGTGTCTTCTTATTATAATATTTATATATATATATATATTCTGTATATATAAACTGCGATAAATAAACTCTATTTTAAATTCAATAACCTTGATTTTCATTATCCTTTCGAAATGTCTTAGTTGAATGATCTATTGGTAAAGTTAAAAGCACTTGGTATTGACAAACGGTCAAAAATCAAGGTTTGGTTTGGAAAAAATTTTGCAAAAAGACCGAATTTATTCAAATTTTTGTCAAGTTTTCCTGAATTAATCACAACGAAAATTTATTTAGGTAATATTTTTTTTCAAAATCCATTGGTGGTAAAAATTTTTTAAAAATTATTTCTGGTATTATACCATGTTTTTATACATATTGTTTTACCCAAGTTTGGGGCTTAACATTTGCCCATTCTGAAAACAGAATTGAAATTTACCACCCTGTACCAGTATCCAAATTAATTTTTTTAATTAAGAGGTTTCATGCTTCCAACCAATTGTTAGGCCTTCAAATTTAAAATAGTTTATCGTCTTATAATTTTTTTCCTGTAAAAATCGTTATTTCATTCATCTGGCCCATCAATTTACTTTTTCAGGCTTAACGTTCTATCTTTTGATGTTTTGACAACACAAATTGCACAAACCTTTTTTCATAATCCAAAAATTGCATCCACTAACTTGACTGTCGGAGAGCTTTGTTAGATTTTTCTTAATAGATTTTCTATCTATTCCAGTTTGTTCATGTGTATGTATGTCTTTATGTATGTATAAATTTAAATCAAATAAATCTATCTATCATTTCTATTTATTTATACATCTTTTCTATTCATTCCTCTATCTATCTATCCATCATCTATCTATCTATATATCTATCATTTCATCAAAATATCTATACTTTTTATCTATCTAAGTCATTATATATTATGATCTATCCATCCATCCATAATTTAAAATATCTATCTATTTCCATCTATCTATCTATCTTTCCCATAAATCCATCTCTCTCATAAATTATCTAATATCTATCCATCTATCTATCTATCTATCTATCTATCTATTCATATCTATCCATCCATCTAATTTCTTTTTATCCATATATTTATCTAAATCCATTTCATATCCACCATCCATCTATCCCCCATCTAAGTCATCCATCTAAATCCATCTATCTATCCATATCTTTCATCCATCTATCCATCATCTATCCCAGTCAATTTATTATTCATCCATCCATCTATCTATCTATCCATCCATATCTATCAATCCATTTGTTTCATTATCTATCATCCATCTCCATCCATCCATCTATCTATATATATTTATTCAGTTCATTCATCCATTCCATTTATATCAAACATCTCCAAGTCAGTTCATTTTCATCTCTCCATTATCTATTCATCCATCTATCTATCTATCCTCAACGCAGTTATCTTTTCTATCTTCAGTCAGTTCAATCCATCTATTCATCCATCTATCTAAGTCCATCATAATATAAAATAATATCATTATACATCTAGACATCCATCATCTATCTATCTATCTTTTCTCCATCTATCCCAGTCAGTTCATTATCCATCCATTTTCTATCTATCATTTCTATCTTTGGAAGTTATATCCATCTCAGTCACAATTGTTTGGATTTATTTAAAAAATCATTTATACTCATTAATCATTATCATCTATCTATCTATTTATTCATCAATCTATCTATCTATCTATCTATCTATCATCTTCTAAATCTATCTATCTATCTATTAATCTATCTATCTGGAATCTTTATTTTTTTATTCATCTTTTTAATCTATGTATTCATTTATCTTTTTTTTTTTGCGCTTTTGTCCCTTTTTTGTCTATCTATTTGTCTGTCTACTTATTTATGTATTTTTCTTTGTTCATTCATTTTTCAAGATCTTTTCTTTTTCTTTTGTCTTTTTTATTTATCTATTTAGTTAGTTTGCTATGACTATTACTTTTCACTAGTAATTGTTTAATTTGAATTTCTGTGCTTTTCATCACGACTTCCTAATCGACTTTAATGTATTTATTGTTCTGTTTTTTTTTTTTTTTTTTTTATTGATGCGCAGTTACTCTTCACTATGAGCTCTTACGAATAATTTATGAATCATCTGGTTAGAACGTTGGCTCCAACAATAGTCAAATTTAACTTTATGAAGACTGACGTCATTACTAAATAAAAAAACACGTAACCACCGTCATATAGTAAATATTCATACTAACTATCTCAAAATATAATGTGTAGTTGTTGTTGTCGCGAAAGACGCTGCTTTTTAAGAGGTTGGGCCCATAAGCCGACGATAATTACTTATGAAATTTTGCTCAGTTTTATTCCAATTTTTCAAATCGTTGCAATACAGTGAGCATCCAACCCGCTACATAAGTGATTTCCGTCTATCATGAAAGAATAAAAATATATTCTGTAGGTAACAATTATAAATGCTTTGTCACCGATCCCAACTTTTATTAAAATATTATAAAATATATGATTTTTTTATAGCCTTAAAACCAGTTTGTTAACCACTAAAACCAGGGCGAGGCGCATCTTTATAAAAAATTTAATCATCGTCCCTTCTTCTTTTCTCAAATTCTGCCTTATATGCCATATATCTATTATCTATCTATCTATCTATCGCAAAATACTTTCCTTCCGCAACCGTTCGTTCCTATTGTCATTTGTAGGTCCGCAGTCAAGGGTGGATGCCCTCCATAAAAACCATTTTTCCTGTTTTCAAAATTGATTTCTACTAATAAAATTACTCTTTCTAAGTTCATTTTGAAATGCCGCCCTTCCCAAGTATCTAAATAATGTCGATTTTGTTTATATATAAATCATCCATTCATTCATTTATTGTTATCTATTGTTAATCCGTTCTTTCATTCCTATCTCTATCCTATATCAAAAATCGTTAACAAAGAAATTTTCTTCCAATCTATCATCTATCTATCTATGTCAACTATTGATATCATACTTTCATCTATCTATCTATCTATCTATGTCAGTCTATTGATATCTATCTATCTATCTATATTATATCAGTTTATTGATATCCATTCATTCATTGGTCTATCTATCTATTGATATTATTCTATCTATCTATCTATCTATTTCAAATTATTGATCTATCTATCTATCTATCTATCTATCTATCTATTCATCTCTATCTATCTATTATCTATCTATCTATCTATCTTTCCTTCTCATATCTTTTTTTATCTATGCATATGTTTACCATGGATATCTATCTATAAGTTTGCCGTCAAGGGGTGGGGAAGCTGTTCCTCCCCAAAATCAATTGACCCCACTCCTATGTGAAAATTTTGTGAACTAATTCTAGTGGGTAGATTCTTACTCACGGGCTCTCGTAACTGAAAAAAAATCTGCCCTCCGCCAATTTCAGAACGCTCCAGTGACTGATTTATCTATCTATCTATCTATCTATCTAGTTAGCTAGATATTTATTTCTTTCTTTCTTGTTAGCTAGTAGTAATATTATGGCTGACATGTAGGCTTAGAAACCATTTATAGTGAATTCTATCTGGTTGATGTAATGAATAGAGGCTCGTGGAAAGAAATCAAGGTAACAGAGTTCGAATTCTAGTCGAGTTCCTTACATTCACTTTTGCACAAAACACCTTCGCCTCTTCAAGCTATGGATTAAATAGCATAGCAGACTGTGTTCTCAAACCGTGGCTGGCAATCAGCATAGGAGAAAGACAATCCTGAATTCAAAACGTAAGGACCAAAGTCCGAGTTGCTCTTTGCCAAGGAATGAAGGTGAAGACATTGGCAGCAAGATGCTGGATGTGGTCAGTGGCAGAATCTAACAGACTAAATTTGGCAATGAACAGTAATGGCGCCATCCTTCAAATTAGACAATGGATGCGGCCTATTCTAAATTAGATGGAGATTGCTGGAACGGGGGACAAATAAAATAGTACCTTCTGGCCTCATAATATAGGCACAATTGAAACCACTTTGACAAGACACGTAAACAAAGAAACGTGTGGATTCCTTCTGACGGGTAATTTTGTCTGTCTATAACATTAGGTGACTTTTCAGCTAGATTGCGTATTCTATTTTAAAAGAACAATTTTAGTTTTGATTTAGTGAATTCTTCAAGGAATCTTTCAATTTCTTGAAATTGTTGCAACTGCTGACTAAATAACGAATTTCGTATCAAACGAAACAAGAGATAACCTAAAGGTGACAAGACTGCTGAGTCGTGACACGTTCAGATGTATGCCTTATGCGGAAGAACTCCCCATGCCAACTGGCTTAGCAGGTGGCAGCGTCACATTTGTAAAATGAAGGCAGGCGATGTTATATGCAGCAAAATGACTTCATTATGCAAATGCCTGTACACTCCTTCACATTGTACAACACGCACAATATATCACATATCAGTCACGTTGCTTCTTTTTGGGACTTGGAGTTCGGAAGATAAAATAATTAACTGAAGCCAGAGTACGAGGGGTCAGACTCTCTATTACACCCAAATGTAATCGGGGTCGCGTACGTATATCTGCGGTAATCACCCAAGGAAATTGAACAGTTCTTGCATGACGCACCATCGAACTATAAGTCATTTGTTGGTTTTAAAAATTAAAAGAAAACTAAATATAATTCTCTTAGATGTTCGCAACAATATCCTTTTTTAACAACTGTAGACAATACATTGTCAAGACTGTTCTTAAGAATGACAGTGAAGTGATTTTCGTTGCCATCAGTCTATCTATCTATCTATCTATCTATCTAAGTCTGTTCATTTCTATCTTTCTATCTACCTATCTCAGTTTGTTCATATCTATCTATCTATCTCAGTTTGTTCATCTATCTATCTATCTATCTGTATCCATCTGTCGATATATCTATCTCAGTTTGTTCATTATAGTCTTATCTTCCCATCTCAGTTTGTTCATCTTCTATCTCATCTATCTATCTATCTATCTATCTCAGTTTGTTCATATCTATCTATCTATCTATCTCAGTTTGTTCATATCATTATCTATCTATCTATCTCAGTTTGTTCATATCTACCTCCACCATCTATCTATCAGTCTTTGTTCATCTATCTGGTCTATCTATCTATCTATCTCTGTTCATCTATCCATCTATCCAGATCCATGACTGTTCACATCTGCATATCTATCTTGTCTATCTATCTAGTCTGTTCATATCTATCTATCTATCTATCTATCTATCTCATCACGTTCATTATATTGATCTATTTATCTATCTATCTCAGTCTGTTCATATCTATCTATCTATCTATCTATCTATCGATAGATCTATCTATCTCTCAGTCTGTTCATACATATCTATATCGGGTTGACCAAAATACAGTTCTCTCGTGGAATTGGGAATCAGCCATTTCGATGGGAGGCAGGGAGGGTTCTCTGTGGTGTTTAAATGAGAGCAGTTTCGTTTTGGAGGCATTGAAGTTTACAAGTCATTTCCTGCCCCAGTCAGCAACAGATCGGAGATCCTTTTCGAGACCAACGGCCAGGTTAGTTCTGTCAACGATACCAGATTTGCTATTGAGGCAGGAGTAAATAGTAGCGTGGTCCGCGAAGATGCCTACTTGGGAACTGATGACATCGGGAAGGTTGTTAATGAAAATCAGGAATAGTGTAGGACCCATGATAGAGCCCTAGGGATCACCAGCGTTTGTGATAAACGAGCTGGAGGAGAACCCATTTAGGACGACCTTCATTTCACGGTTTGACAGGAATGATTGTATTAAGTCAAATAATCGTCCTATAATACCGTATCCCTAAAGCTTACGAAGAAGGCCGGCATGTCAAACCCTATCAAACGGTTTAGAGATTCTAGAGCCACGGTTCGATCTTCTCCATTATTGGTGAGCGGTTGGTATACAAATTCAGTTATGGCCGTGAGCATGTCAGTTGTAGATCGGGTAAAGCTGAAACTATATTGCTTGTTGGAGAGCAGATTATGGGATGTAAGGTGCTTAACCACTTCGGTGTTGATTAAAGCCTCGAAGACTTTAACAAAGTGTGGTACAAGACTGATAGGACGGTCGTTAGAAAGGTCTCCACAGTTTTTAAATACAGGCACAGCAGATGAGGACTTCCAACAGGCTGGAAAGCAAGAGTCGGTGAGGCAGTAGTTGTAAAGTTTAGAGAGAACAGCAGTCAATTCAGGAGCATATTTCTTCAGGACAATGGCCGGTATCCCGTCCCAACCACTATCCCAATGGGAGTCTAATTTAGAGATGATGTCCAATACCATCGTTGTGGTTGTGTGCATCTCACTCAGTAGAGCTTCAGATCTAGGGGAAAAAATCAAGTGTGGGTACACCTGATGAGTCTAGCGTTGAATTGGATGAAAATTTTCGAGCAAAGCATTCAACCTTATCAGCTGAGGAAGTCAGGACCTCAAACTGATTGAATAAAGGAGGTATTGTGGGTTTGCTGTTGTTCACCACGCTTTTGCAGTGCCGCCAATAATCTTTAGAACCAAACTACGCTGTTTAATTGTTTCAGCAAATCTTTCAGTCTTTGCTTTCGTTGAAACACACTTGCCTCATTATGGACAATTTGAAAGAGACGTCTGTTGCAATGTAGAGCGTGTCGCTATATTTACAGACGGAAGTGGTGATTTCTGATAATAGCAACTGATCAAGCAGTTGAGAACCAAAGGGATGAGCGCTTTTTACTTTTATATTTTCTTGGGGGAATGAAATTTTCGATTCCAGCATTTACCCAGGATGAGACCTCAGCGGAGCACATTTTTGAACGGGAAGTTTAAAATTTATTCCAGGGGACACAAATAAGGAAATCACGGAACAAATCCCAGTCTGCCCTCCAGCTGATAACAGAAAGATATTCTGTCGGTAGGGGCTCTTTTACTGAGAGAGCAGAAGGAGGAGATGGTAACAGACACGACGGCAGGATCAAAATCCCCCAAATATAGGGTATAGCTGCCGGCAAAAGGTTGATAGTCCGTAAAAATGAAATCAAACAAGATCGATCTTCTAAGGCTTACCGTCAAAAATTACTGGGGAAACGCTGTTCTTTTTAGATAACTACATTTATGTAAAGATTGAGTGATTGAAAAAACTTCCTGTTCCTTGCCAGGAAGGTCACGTCTAAAGACGTGCGCATTCTAGCCATTTAATATAGTGGTTATTATAGTTCTCCTAAGACAAATGTATTTTCAGACCCTTGAAGGAGATGTTATATTCTTTGCTATTAAGTTTCTAGGCTGGCAGAGCGATAGAGAAGGAAGAGATAGCTTATATATATATATATATATATATATATATATATATATATATATATATATATATATATATATATTTTATATATATATATATATATATATATATATATATATATATAATGAAATATATTGATATATATATATAGAGAGATGCATATATATATGTATGTATTTATATATTCTTGATGCATTTTCTTATATATTTATATTTATATATATTTATATGTATATATATATATAGAGACTCATAAATTTATATATATGTATATATGTATATATAGAGATGCATACATTTATATATATATATATATATTTATACGTATATTTATATATATATATAGATGCATACATTTCTTCCTATATATAAAATAGAGAGATGCATATATTTAATGTTTATATATTTTTTGTTTATATAGAGTGATGATATCATTATATATATATATTTATACGTTCATATATATTTCTATATATTTGTAGAGAGAGATGCATATATTTATATGTATATATGGTTTTATATATACGTATAGAAAGAGATGCATATATTTATATGTATATATATTTCTATATATATATAGAGAGAATGTCATATTTATATGTATATATATTTCTATATATATATATATATAAGATGCATATATTTTATATATTCGCCAAGATGGGCCTCAAGATGTATATATATAGAGATTTTATATATATTTATACGTATGGATTTATTAATTATATATATATATATATATATATATATATATATATATATATATAAATATATATATAGATAGATAGAAAATAGATAGATTAATAAGAAATTTGTTATTGAACCTTATTTGTGACCC